GTTATTGATTCCATTGTCATCTTGAGTTACAACTTTTTGAGTTACAAAAGATCCGGTCTTTTTATAAGATCCGGTTACAACGAAAATCAAATTGAAAAGAAATGAAAATTACAACTTTGTTTCCTTGTTTGTCGAACGAATCACGAGCTCCTGTTTTGCGGTCGCTCGCTTTGTGGGTTCTTTGCCTGCGCCGGGGTTGTTTGCCGTGGACCACCGCGAGATCTAGATCCGGTCGGATCTACGCAGTACGACGGGTATTATTTCACCAAGGAAATAATAGCCGGGGAGGATTGTTTCACCAAGGAAACAATCGTCCAAGTCTCGGGATCTAAGACCAAGCTTAGATCCGGAGTATGCCTGCGTAGATCTGAGATCTGATCCTCTCGAACACCTGCCTTATTTGACGTTGATGATCGCCGAGCACCAGATCTGAAGGAGTGAGTCCCCGAAGTCCCAAAGCTTCAATCTTTTTTAAGTTCCGAGTCTTCAATCCAGCAGGGCTTCGCCTCTCTCCAAAATTTCCAACCCCCCAAATGAACCAAGGCCTAGCCTATTTATAGGCACTCAGATCTGTGCCTAGGCACAGATCTGGGCCGGCCACCTCAGTGTGTCGGGAATGGCCGAGCACCTTGAGGTGGTCGGCCATGGCCGAGCCACCTTGGGGTGGCTCGGCACCGAGCACCCCAAGGTGGCTCGGCTTGGGCGAGCACCTGAAGTTGGCTCGGCTGGCGAGCCCTTTGAGGTGGCTTCGTGCTTGGGCGAGCCACCTGAGTTGGCCGCTTCGCCGAGGCCCCCTAGGTTTGGTGTGTGGTTCGGACTTCTTTCGAGTCGTTTTCCGTTGTCTCGTTTGTCCGTGTTTCGGTTGACCTGAGACTCTGATTTGATGATCTGATTTGGCAGTAAATTGGATTCCTGATTTGGCAGTAAATCCGCTTCTGAGTTCGAGTCCGAAATTGATCTTGATTCGATCGTGATTCGTCCGAGTTTCCCCTTGGTTGGATGACTCGTTGACTCTTCGAACACTTGGCTTGATCCCACACGCGAATGGACGTATTTCGTTACTTGCGTGCGATTCGTCGATCTCGTCGCCTCGTTGGTTCGTCGGTTTGTGCTGAGCTGTGCTAAGGGACCTATAAGCAATTTTATATGCCTACAATATTGTATATAGTTTGTAGAAATTCACTTAAATAACTAGATCTCTCTCTCTCTCTCTCTCTCTTATTTATTTGTTTGTTTGTTTACCCTAATTAAAAATATATTTTACTTTTTTCATCCTTTGTGGTTGCTTTAAAATTTTATGATTATATTGTATATAGTTTGTAGAAATTCACCCAAGCGATTTGAGCATCTTGATTTTACACACTTGAAAATGCTCTTAACGATAATACCCCCTAGTCAGGATAAAATGAGGGATTTTATTACTCTTTCCTTAGCCTATGCTACATAAACCCAACCCTTTTAAAACTCATTAAACATTGACCCCTAAGAACTGGAGCTCATTACAAAACAACAAATCCTTAAGTGCACTGGTTGAAGGTTACTTGAATCAGTTGGTGTTTAAGGTCTAAGGTAAGATTTTGGTGTTGTGTAAAGTGTTTCATAATAAAAGAGGTGCTTAATTAGTCTTTGGCCTCCTTCTAGTATTATCCTTACCTGGTTAACTAACTGAGTAGTCTTTATTCTTTTCACTCAAGGTGTTTTTGGTTAGGAGCTGGTCTAGTTGAGTCTAGACTTAATACTAGAATTAACAATGATTGTTTCAAAGTGGTTGGTTATGATTTATTTTAGTTATTCTTTTCTTCTCTCATTAATCTTTTAGGTCTTTTAGTTTTTCTTTAAAAAAAGACGTAAACAATAACTTAACTAACTTTTATTTTTCTTAGAACTTTTTTGTAATTTTTTAGTAAAAAAATTCAAAAAAGAATTTATTTTGGTGTATGAAAATTTGGATTAGGGATAATATCAATCGATTAATCCTTATTGAACTAATTTTGAAACTAAGATAACAACAAATCTTAATCCAACATTTCGTTAAGACAAGTGTTTTCCCGAAGAAGAGAGTGAGTCAGACTCAAGTTTTGAGGGAATTTTTTGGTAATGAAACTAAGATACTCGAAGAATTTGAATTAGAACTAGTTTTTACGGGGGCAATCACAAATTTCTCTAATCTTAGTTTCGAAGAATTTTTTTTCTTAATGAACTTAGGTTACTAGAATATATAGAACAACCAGCTTATCATAACTTAATCATGAATCATGGGTTTAATTTTTTTTTTAAAGAAGAATTGGTTGTATAAGCCTTTGACTATGTGGAACCTAAATCCAAACCTCAGCTCTTCAACCATTCAACCCCTTACTCTACCCGTCTATTTATAGTCTCCAGCCAACCTAAGCTCTTTGATTAGCTAGGGTTTTGAAAGAATAAAAATCAGCAATTGGTCAATTATGTTACACTCTAATTGATGGGCTCATCGATGAGCCACCGATGAGCTCATAAATTAGTTTATAATATAACTGTAATAAATTATATTGACTTTCTTGACTCCGTCATCTTTGAGCTTTTAGACTTCCTGTAGGCTTCAATATAATCTTAAAAAATGAAGAGAACGGGTCAATTTTGGGATTTTATTCTTTAAATCTTCATTGGCTACAAATTAAGATAAAAATTATTATTAGCAGATATTCTTATTCAAAATAAAATAAATAATAAGAGTACAAAAGTGTAATAAAATATGATAATTATGTTGAGTGAAAATATTGTTTTATGTTGCTTTTAGCTATGTTATTTATTTATGTTGTGGATGTAGGATATGCGGGTCCTTTCATGATTGCAGATTAGTTGTAAGAAGTGACTTATAAGGGTGGATGATAATGTAGTGTCAATAGTTTTTTCTTTCTTTAAGAGGGTTCTCTCAATAAAATTTGGTAGTAATATTTTTTGAAAAGTAGATATTCCCATTTTGTTAGATACATATTTATATATGGATAATAAAAATGATGAGCTTATTTATGTAATTTTACATAAATTCCCGTGCCTTACCTTGCCTTCTTGAAACTCCCAAACAAGGTGAAAATAACTCATCTTACATTCCCCTAGCAAACTCCCAAACAAGTTACTATATTCTTCCTTAGCTTTACCATTTGTTACCCTCCCTTCCCCAATTTTAACTCACCTTTCATTCCCCTAGTAAATTTCCAGACATAGTGTTAAATAAGGTATATCTAACCTTTTTAATAGACTGGTCGGTAGTATTATTAAATTGGTTAGGTTGGATTAATCCTATATGGGCCAGATCATGATCGAGTTGACCCGCCTTTTGCCATGCACTCAAAAAATATTAAAAAGTAATATGCAATATCGTGTGGCAAAATTCCACTTTAGCTAAACACTCGATCAATAACAAATTTTCGAATTAAATTGGAGATGTAAATCACATTAATTGCACAGAGATTTAAACATCTAACACAAATTTCTGTGGGCTCTGCCATTTTATACAAAGTCCAAAATGAGGTGACGAACAAATCTAAAAATCTTATTTCGTAGGGATTTTTAGAGAGAAAGGTGAGGTGAGGGACACCCAAAAAGTAAACTAAATATGTGGAGAAAGAAGAATCCTTTGGATTTTAATGTACACATGAGAAGGGAGAAGATTTATCTTATAATTACTTTTATATCTCCATATATTGTGCATTAAAAACCTTACATACCTCTCTCTTTCAAAAATCTCATAATAGGCTTGGTCTGATAGCATAGGAGATGAGATGACACTATGAATACCCTCAAGACCGTCCGCATGTGAGCATGTGGTTCTCAGCATTTAATATGTTGACGAGAATAATAGTCTTGCCTCATATCCAACCCATCAAAGACTAGGAACCCTCTGGTTCTATGCATGTGATTTCTGAGGAGATTTGTAAGAAGGTGAGAGACAAAAGAAATTCTATTTTATTACCATCCTCTTCTGTGGGGCCCAACAACAACAAGGCAGGTATTCGTTCTTGATAGATCTGAAGAAAGCTTAATGTTGTATTAAAGTGTGTCTCATGAATAAAAGACTTTTATATAAATTATATAAATAATATCATTCATGGATCTGCTGAATAATGAGAAGTTATTGATAAACTGTAGGAATCTTTTACAATTAAAGATAAAAAGAATCATAACACTAACTAGCTAGGACCCCTAAAATTTCAAACAAAGGGCCCAAAATTAAAATTTCTCATTGGAGTTAGGGGTATTTGGCGGCTCGAAAGTGAATTGAAAATATTGCAGATGACTTTTATATCCACATTGGCATTCACTTCAAATACAATGTTTGTTTAAAAACCCAAATTATTGTTGAAAGTGTAATATGAAGATGATGTGACAAAACATGGTTAGATAGTAAATATAATTAATATAATTTGATTAAAATTGGCTATCATTTTTATCACTTTCATGTGGGTTCACAACTAATTTAGGGAACATTAAAATTACATTAAATCTTAGGTGTTAATTTTCTTATATTTTACTTTTATAACCACTTGAATACAAGAAAACATTTAAAATAGTAAAATTAAATTACTTTTTCACTTTCATCTTTGATCTTTCACTTTCAAGCAAACAAACACCCTCTAAGTATAGTCAAAACCGCATCCAACAAAAGATTTCAATACAGTCAAAACCGTGTCCCACAAAAGCTTCAATACACATATTCTCCAGTTCCTCCGTAGTCCACTTTTTCCACAAATTAATCCCTGTAATCACGCGCAGCATCGGGTAAGAAATCAGATTCGATGCGCAAATGACCAACAAAAAAAAAAAAGTAAAAAAAAAAAAAGGAAAATGGAAATGCCCTTTCTAGTAGCGAATTCCCCTCTGAACGGGCACCCCCTTCCGATAGCCAAAAATTTTAAAAACACTCACCCAACTCTTTAACCGCTCTCGAAACATGGGACCCAGGCCTTCCTTAAACCCTTAAGACTCTAATAAGCCAGAAATATACGAGTGGGGCCCACTTTCCTGCGCTGCGTTTGCGTCCCTTCCCTCTTTTGCGTCTCGGGCTTTCCATGCTCGTCATCACGCCAATAAGCCCTTCCTCCTAAACAAAGCCCTACTCCAATCCCCTTACCGCCTCCCCAATGGCCCTCCTCCCCTTCATGATGGCCGCCATCCTTCTCGCGCTCACTGCGGAGGCCGCGACCGACCCAAACGACGCGGCCGCAATGCACGCTTTCGCGAAGGCCATTGGCGCCGATTCTGCCCTAAACTGGTCGCCAACCTCCGATCCCTGCACCCAGTGGCCAAAAGTCAAATGCCAGGGCGATAGGGTTTCCATCATCCAGATCGGAAACATCAGCAACCTCTCTGGTACCGTTCCCCCCGAGGTCGGTAACCTCACCTCGCTCCAGCGCCTGGAGCTTCAGTACGTGGGCCTTACTGGGCCCCTCCCCTCCCTAAAAGGCCTCGTCCTTCTCAACGTTCTCCTCCTTAACGACAACAAATTCTCCTCAATCCCTCCCGACTTCTTCGATGGCCTCTCGGCCATCACCGTCGTCAACATCGACCGCAACCCCTTCTCATCGTGGGCGATCCCGACGACGTTAAAAGAATGTTCTTCCCTTCTCAACTTCTCGGCCAACGACGCCAATGTCACCGGCGGAGTACCGGACTTCTTCGCCAGTGCATTCCCTGCCCTCAACCATCTGGGTCTAGCCAACAATTTGCTTGGAGGTCAGATTCCCGAGAGCTTTGCGAGCTCAGGGATGAAATCACTGTGGCTGAATGGTGCGGGGTTGAGCGGCGGAGTCCATGTCATTGCTGACATGACTAATCTGATTGAAGTTTTCCTGCAGTCAAATTCATTGACAGGCCCATTGCCTGATTTTTCAAGATTGAATAGCCTGCAGCAGTTGAATTTGAGGGATAATCAGATTACAGGTATCGTGCCCAAGTCGCTGACGGAGTTGAAATCTCTGCAGACAGTGGTTCTGACAAATAATCTGCTGCAGGGTCCGGTGCCCGTGTTTGGCAAGGGAGTGAATTTGGATCTTTTGCCTGACAGAGAGAGCTTCTGTCATGATTCCAGCGATGAGTGTGACCCCAGAGTGACTGTTCTGTTATCCATTGCTAGTTCTTTCAGGTATCCGGTGAAGTTTGCGCAGAATTGGAAGGGTAATGATCCTTGTGCGAATTGGATCGGAATCTCTTGCGATCAGAGTGGGAATATTATCGTGGTCAACTTTCAGAAGATGAATCTTAGTGGTGTAATCTCGCCCGATTTCATGTCACTTGGGTCTCTTCAGAAGTTGATTTTATCAAATAACAACTTGACTGGCACTATACCATCTGGTCTTGTTAATCTGAAGGCTCTTAAACTGTTGGATGTATCGAATAACACAATTTTTGGGCAAGTGCCGAGCTTTAGTAGTAATATTGTAGTGAATACTTATGGGAATCCTAATATAGGGAAGGATATGCGTGGTCCTCCTGGTCGTTCAGCTCCTGGTTCATCTCCTGATAGTAGCAGTGGTGGAAAATCTAATGCAGGAGTAATTGTGGGTTGTGTAATTGCAGGAATTTTTGTGATTGTTATCGCTGGGTCGTTGTATTTCTTTTATAGGAAGAGGAAAGAAGCAAAATTGGATAAAATTCAGACGCATGGCATGGTGATCCACCCTCGCCATTCTGGGTCTGATGCTGAGTTGCTTAAGATAACTGTTGCAGTGAATGAGAATGAGACTACAAGCAATACAGGGAGTGGACGTGTTAATTTTCAAGTAGTGGAGCCTGTAAATTTAGTAATATCCATCAATGTTCTGAGGGCCGTGACTGATAATTTTAGCGAGGATAAGATTTTGGGACGTGGAGGTTTTGGGACAGTCTACAAGGGAGAGCTTGATGATGGTACCATGATTGCTGTTAAGAGAATGGAGTCAGGAGGTGCACTGAGTTCAAAGGGACTGAAGGAGTTCAAATCAGAGATATCAGTCCTCACCAAGGTTCGTCATCGTCATCTTGTGTCTTTGCTTGGATATTGCCTTGAAGAGAATGAAAGAATGTTAGTCTATGAATACATGCCTCAAGGAACACTTAGCGACCATCTTTTTGATTGGGAGGTAGCAGTGATGAAACCGTTGGAATGGAAGATGAGATTGTGCATCGCATTGGATGTTGCGAGAGGAGTTGAGTACTTGCACAGCTTGATGAACGAGAGTTTTGTACATAGGGATTTGAAGCCCTCTAACATACTCCTTGCGAATGATATGAGAGCCAAAGTTGCGGACTTTGGCCTTGTGAGGCTTGCACCAGAGGGGAAACAGTATTCACTCGCAACCACACTTGCTGGGACTTTTGGTTATGTTGCTCCTGAATACGCAGGTAATACTCAATCTCATGTCTAAACTGTCCTTGCAGTGTTCGTGGATAAACTTGTTTGTTTATTACATAGGTAAAGGTTTGCCTAGCATTGTATTTTATACTCGTGCACCCTATGGTTAAGCTGGCTGGTCAGTTTTGTTTAGGTTAAGAAACTAAGGTCACAACATAATATAAGTATCAGAATTAGGTTTTTGATTGTAAAAACATACCATACTGTGTTGGAAAAAAATGATATGGTCTCGAAGGGGAGTAGTTGCATAGTTTTCAATCTCTTCCCCTAACCCGTACCCTGCATTAAAAAAACCAACCAACATGCATGCCCTCACTCTTCTCTCTCTGTTAACAGAGAAAATTGCATACTATTACCACCTCCAAATATCTTCTTTTTGATATAAACTGTCTGAAGCAGTCTATCATTGATGAAATCTCTAAACGTGCTCTGCAATAAAATATAGTCAACTCTGATACTATACTATATACTAAAGTTATTGGAGATGAAGACTGCTTAGCTACAGTTCATCTCCAATGACAAAAAATATAGCTTGGTTTTGGAAAATAGTACATACATTGAATGTGGCACAGTAGTACTATTGTTGCTTCCCATTATACACGTCACCTGTTTGAGTCTTCAGTTGGTTATATTTTGAAGTTTTCATGTTTTTTAACCTATACACCCAAGTTTTACCCATTTATTTTTGAACCCACCAACTTTTTATAAACCCAAACGTCTAACCCTATTTATTTTTTGGACACATTCTTCTGCAAAATCATATACTCCACGCAAAGATCTACCCCATTTAATTTTGTGCACACATACTTCCTACAAGATTTTTTTTACTAATAAACCCTTTATCTCCCATCTATTTTTAAACCCACTTACTTCCAAACTCACTCATGGCCCAAACATATCTAAGAAATCGTTTTCGAAGTCGATGTGTATTTCAGTAGTTTTGCATAGTTTAATTTTATATAATTTTCTTTATGTTGCTATATTATTTCTTGGAGTTACGATGTAGTAAAATGCCTAAACAATAAATATTTTTTATTCACACTAATTTACCATCATCATGAATTGTAGATGATTTTTTTTGCTTATAAACCCATACTACTACATCAAATTATTTTACTCATCACACTTCCAAAGAGGATTTTTATAATTACAAACTTAGAGTTTTACCACCATATATCTTTAAACTCAGCCAATTCCAAAATCACTCTTAATTTTCTAGCTAGTTTAGTACATTTTAAACTACTATATTTTTCTATAACTTGCTATACTTTTTATTCAAAGAGGTAAGATGTATGGTGTAGCGTACAAGGTTTTAAATGTCGGATGTCGGGTTCATGTCGGACCGTTGAAATCCATGTCGGATGGCGGAAATCGGGGATATATCGGGGAACATGGACTAAATATCGGATTACAATATCGGGTGGTACCCATATGTATGATATCATGTCCTAAATTTAATCTAAGCATTCCTAAATTCAATATAAGTATACTTTATAAATTCTAGAGACGGCGCCGGCGATGGGTGGATTCCGACGTCGCAGGGAGGCAGTGCCGGGGCTCTTCTTCTTCTTCGTCTGCTCAGGGTCCTTCGGATGAGTCACCGACTACCCTCTTCCCTTTATCTCGACGACGGGATACCCTGCCGGTCCTCGGGTTCGGATTTCGAGGCGCAATGGGAGATGGACGAAGGGCGACCGAGATGGAGGTGGGGGAATGGCATTGTCATTCACGAAAGGAGTGATGGATTTCCAAGTCCGCTACAGCCCTAATTTTTCTTTTTTTTTCTATCGGGTTCATAAGAAACCCTTAAACATGAGAACGGGTCAAATGGGTTTGAGTTTTTATCACTAAACCACAACCTGATAACAAAAAATAGATCTAAAAAAGGGCCATATCGGCTGATTTTTCAAAGCTGAAAAATCGGCCGATATGCCTGATATGGCCCTGATATTTCCGATTTGGTCCTGAAAACCGACATACGAGTTGAAAACGCCCATGTCGTGTCGCTCAAGCCCTCAAATCGACATGTCGGCCGACATATCGGACATGTTGGCCGACATTTAAAACCTTTGTAGCGTATTTATAACTTAAATGTTTAAACCACTTTTTTTTGGCTTTTCACCTCTCATGCCACACCGTCACGCAGGTCAATTTTGCTTGTTATGAGCTAAAATGTTTGCCAGTTTGCTAACTTGACCCCCTGTTTTTCTGGTGATATAGTAGATAACTCTAAGCACAAAAACACTATCAGATTAAGCATCATTTTCATCACTGCCCTAGTCATCTTTGTGTTTAAGATTAATTGTAGCCATTTCAGTGTCTAGTCAGGACGTTATTAATTTTAGCCATTTCAGCATATGCTGGTTAGTCAGTCATTCATCCTCACTGAGGGTGTGGTTAATCTTGAGGTCATTTGCCCTCTTCATTTATTTGCATTATTTCAGGTGTATTGCGTTTGTGGATGTTGTAGATAGATTCTTAGTTTCCTTAGATTTGTTTACTTTTGTTAACAATTCTTGTCAAATATGTTTGCTACTACTATGTTGGTAGTATTTTAGTTATAATTTTATTACTTGACAGATAAGCACTTATTGTCATGTTGAAAAGCTAAGTAATACTCTAGCTCTTGATATATATGCTACAAGATTAGTCCATTCCTTGAGTTTGGGAGTATCCTGCAGTTGGAGTCTAACCTATCCAATGTATGCTGCGTTGTTTTTCTTATAGACGCACCTTGCTTCTACCAGTGTTCTGTCTCTAAACATACCTCTTTTCTGCAAACCTAATTGATTCGTTTCCTAGATTGCCTGAGTTTATTCTTTCTACACTTTCTCCACTCACTTCCACCATTGGAGGGGTTTGTGACAATAATGTGGACATGGATATATTGCTCTAGCATTTGCGTAAGGAGTTCATGAATATTAAGAGAAGATAATAGAATTTGGCCCTCGGAGAGCTCAAATGTAATAGATCATATAATATTTACAATATATGAATGCATGTGTTTCAGATTTTTCAAGCTAGGCATTAGGATTACTGGTTAAGTACAGAATTGTTTGGATTACATTTTTCTTTAAAACTTTTACAGACTACAGAGCAATTTACAAGAATAGGGATCAAGGGTAAGTGGGTAACATTTGATGGTTCTCAAAAGCTAACTTCAAATTTTCATCTCTAAGGAGTTACTTGCTTCAATGTAGACAAGTCACTAAATTGTTTGACAAAAAACTAAAATATACGATGTAAAATGACAAGTAACTTAAAAGATTCCTTTACTCTGGTGCCACGTGAATTTCTTTCGCATCTATTGATTGAGATTAGTAGGTAAACGCTTCTAAGATTGAAGGAAAAGATGAAATCGGTAACATATAAGTTTGTCATTCACTTGTTCATCATTAAAGTTGTGCTGCTAATCTGGACACTGTTCAGCTAGTATAGCTATTCATTTGAATTTGGTTCATATGCATATGATTTTTCTGTAATTGAGAATTGAAGTATCTCCCTCCACTAAGTAGTAATAAATGTTGTTACTTATATTACTTAAATGTGTTGGTTCATATGCATATGATTTTTCTGTTCAGTTGTGTTTTGTTAGATAGAACTAACAGCCGGCTGATTTCTCAAGTTCTTTCACACTCCAAAATCCCTCCGTCTGCTTGATTATAGATCTGATGCTTATAAGTATTTCTTTTGGAAATGAAAGTAATTTGCTCATATTTCAATATCCTTAACCAAGTTCTCTCCATTCTTCATTATTTAGTGAAATCCACATGTGCAGTGAGTATTAGGTAGTTTGGCTCAACAACTAATTCCGCAGATACTCATATCTTATCTATGCAGTACTCTTGAAATTTTATTATAGTTGTAATATCTTTTAGTAAAGATAATGAACAGTAGAAAACTATGAAACATGAGTTTTTTTTTGTCCACAATAGCCATTAATTAATTTCAATTTGATAAGCGCACATGAAAAAGTAATAAACAGACAGTAGGCTTTTGTTTTAGGTTGACTCTAAACAAAGGAGTTTTGTCAATATATATAACTATAACCTTTTAAAGTTTCCCTTGTAGGCAAGAGACCTTTTGATCCATTATAACAAAGCAAGTTTGAAGCACATACACTGTAAAGTGAGTCCACTGTGTGCGTACCCAGCAAGTGGCTAACACTGACACATGATTTGCGCCTATGTTATGTGGGTACTTCTATTTGGAAGCCGTAACTGTACCGGACACATACCCTTAATTGTAACCAAACTTCTTGGACACCACTTCTTGAATATATGCACACGTTTGTTCAAGCTTAATACCCAATGGTATACCAATGTTTTAATTTAAAACATTCTTCATACACTTCTTGGATGTATATTCTACACTTCACATCTAGTTTTAATATGTTGATCCTATATAAATGAAAAAATGATGTTGATCTTATGTAAATTACTAATTTTAATACATATGTATAGTTGTGTCCCCGTACCCCACTTTTTACAAATTTGCCATGTCCCGTACCTATATCAGCACCCGTACCCGTGCTACTTAGATAGGTGCTTATCCTCACCATTTTGCAAATATTGTAGTGATGTTTGACACGGAAGATCTAAAATTATTAGTGGAGGGTGTTGCTTCAAAAAACTAAAGTTTGCTGTGACAATACCATGAAGCCGTACATAGATTAAACATGCATAAAAAAGATCCTTGACATAAGTGATTACACTTCAGACAATTATAAATTTCTAGCAAACATGTAAGAAGAATTATAATAATTATGTATTTGAGTGGACTCTAGGTATCTTTAATCAAATATCTCATATGATTAAAAGCTATAAATTTAAATCATAACTAAATTTCCTAAAACATGTCTACTTGGCTAGAACTTATGTACACTAGTACATGTAAGCAACGAGACATCTTGGTTCACACATGGTCATGTCCTCGCATCCTACTTTTTAGGATTATGTGTGCTATATTTCCTGTGCTTTGACTGTTCCAT